TATGAGTGAAAGATTCTAATGCTTGTAAACTCAGTTTAGTGTGTGTAGACACAGAGGCTCTTGTGACATCGTGATATATTTACAATGGGAAGATGAGTAAGGCCATGGTAACCCTGAATCTCATTGCTGTTGAAAGGAGGAATGGTTAAATCATTCATGTTCTACAAGCAAGGGTGACTTACAATACCTTGGAATACCTTATCTTAGAACCCATCAGAAGCTCTCCTGCAGAGCCCATAGGGGCCAGTGGTCAAGGAGAACAATCACAGGGGGTGGGCTCCCCTAATGACAGAGTCAGTCTTAGTCATGACACCACTGAAATCTCTGTTTTCCCACTGTTGTCAGGCCCTGGCCTTTCTAAAGGGGACATGTCTATTGTTATAGTTACGGACTGGCAGTGACTATTTTGAACTCCTCTGCTCTGTGAAAAGGCAAATACTATGGATGAGCCACTGACAGGTTTTCTCTTCATCACCATACTTGGGCCTCTACATTAATAGATAACCTCTGGCCCAACACCCAATCCTGCTAGAGTAATTCTTACCCATGAACCTTGCTCAAGAGGACTGTTTATTGCTCCTATATCCCCATGATTGGCTACCTCATTGTACATTACAGAGCATCTTTGTACCTATGTGGGCTCTGGGGTTCAGAAAATGAACATTTTCTTTAACTTGTTAGTTTTCATTGCCTGGCAATTGAAAATAAGTCACATGGTGGTAGACCACTTTTTGTCCCCATTTTAATTCAGTTCTTGTGCCAAGAGCTAGTTCTGAAAACTGACTCGCGGTGATACTGGTGCTGATAACTGGGAAGATCATTCAGTAGTGCTTGCTATTACACATCTTGGTGATAACCACCAAGGTGATAGCTTAGGGAGGAGAAACATCTTCGAAACACAAGAAAAAGAATCCCTGCTTCTTCTTCTTCTTCTCATTTTCCCTCTAGACTGCTTATTGACAAATCTGGTGACTTCCACTCTTTCATCTAGAGTGAACTCCTAAAATTGTTATACCAAAAGATTAGATGGAAAACTTTATAAGAAGATATGAATGCCCGACTCTCTTGCATACTCTGAAACTATGACCTGATAACTTCTGGTAACTTCATTCTTATCTTGTAGCTCAAATCTTTCTTTGAAAAACAAACAAACAAACAAACAAACAAAACAGAAGGGAGAAAGAACCATGTCTTAAATTAAGAGATGGCCTATTTACCTCTATGTGAAAATGTAGTCATTAAGAATATTGGGGCCGGGCGCGGTGGCTCACGCCTGTAATCCCAGCACTTTGGGAGGCCGAGGTGGGCAGATCACGAGGTCAGGAGATCGAGACCATCCTGGCTAACACGGTGAAACCCCATCTCTACTAAAAAATACAAAAAAAAATTAGCCGGGCGTGGTGGCCGACAGCTGTCGTCCCAACTATTCGGGAGGCCGAGACAGGAGAATGGCGTGAACCCGGGAGGCGGAACTTGCAATGAACCGAGATTGCGCCACTGTACTCCAGCCCCTGTGACAGAGCCAGACTCTGTCTAAAAAAAAAAAAAAAAAAAAAAAAAAAAAAAAAAAAAAAAAGAATCTCGGATTTGTGATCTTTGAGCTCTAACCAAGGTTTTGCAGGGCCTGAGAAGCAACAGGATAGCCAGTTCCACATAGAAATGGATCTCGGTTTGAAACTGCTAATGTCATCACCTAGGAAGGCAGGAATCAAATTATTCAGTAGCTACACCCATGCAGATTTTACCTCTGAAGCTGAATAAAAACTCGATTTTTATAAATTGGTTATTACAATGCTGACAATGGTAGTCTCGAGAAATGAGATAAAAGCAGCAACCGTACTCAGATCAGTTATTCAACAGATGACAGTGAAATTATTTTCATTTCCAATCATGTGGATTTGAATCAATTTAAAGCAAGTCTCCACGACCCAGTACCCCATTCTCCGAGCTATATAAGACCCCGGGAATATTTTTCTTTTTTTTAAAAACAGCGCTTACTGGAAAAAACAAATGAAGCAGATGAATATTCATAGCGTGAGCAATGAGAAGCAGGTAGCAGGAATTCACTAGCGCTCCACTTCACAGAGGTCTTTCTCTTCAGGCCTGGGCACGTCATGGTACTACTGCTGAACGGAAGTGCTCCTTTTTCGCTAACTGATTAATGCTCCCTTGCAGGAGCTTCGTTACAATATTACAAGTCAAGAATTTGCAAGATTAAAGTGTCTGTTGAATTAATTAACTGCAAATCACCTCCAGTAAAGCTTGACAAGCTCCAAGATGTTTCTGTAGAAAAAGAAGGGAATCGATAGCATCAGCAATAGGCAGCTTTGCGACAGTGGAGACCGTATTTGTGAGTGACAGCTCACTGCTGCCTTTCTCCCTCTTACAGCAGGAGGGATTTACATCTTTCCACAGAGCCCCAAGCCTCCGATTCAGACCGTGGAAAATGTTTCACCCCAGGCTTTCAAAATATACTTCAGAAATCCATTTCCTTTTTTATGTACGATGCATTAGAAAGGTTAATAAAGGAAGTTGAATATTTTAATTTTTTGAAAGAATGATATAAAATGACAATTATTCCACTAGCTGACAGGTCTCCTTTGGTTATGTTAAGGTGTGTTATTGCTCCCAATTTGAATAGAATAAAAAACATCACAAGGGGCTCAGCAGAAAACCTCAGGTCAAAGGTTAATTACTAAGTGAATGCAACAGTGCTCAACACACAAAGTGCTCATTTTCCAGACTCACAGTGGCTTGCAATGGGTTCTACTGGTGTGTGATCAAAATAGTAATTTTGATTACGATCACAGAAACCCAAACTATCTTTTCAACACATTTAGTAGTGTTTTGGAACTTCTTGATGAATTAATCTGAAATAATTAGAAGTGTTGATTTGATACAGCTCCATACCAGAATGCCACTAGAACAGGTAAATTAAATTAGCTTAACCACATCTCCGTCTGATAACATTTGTAGTACTTAAATGAAGTAATAATTTGATTAAATCCATTTTAATACAAATTAAGCAATGGAGAGGAGGAGAAGGTCAACAATGTGGTAGATGGAAATATAATAAAAACACAAAACTTTATATTTTCTGAAATTCTAATAACAGGGTAGATGACATGCTTCAATTATTAGCACAAGAGAAAATTTTGTGTGAGTACTGTGCTGGTAATATTGGCTTAATATTTTGATTAATTAGTTTTGTTGTTGATTTGTTTTGTTAAACAAGATCTTTGCTTAGCAAATATTATATCTGTAACTACATGCTTCTTTTTGTCTGGTCCAATGACTAAAGTAGCAATAATGGTAGTAAGGAATGTGGTAATGGTGGCATGAACCTAGAGATCACGGTACCTTGTAACATTTATTAGGTCAACTCTTTTATTAATGCATAATGTGACTCGCCAAGGAATTTGAATTATTCTGTACTCATAAAAGTTAATATGCTTTCTTCTCTCTTTTCTTCTACTCTATGGAGGGTCAATGGGTTTATATATTCCCTGAGCAGAATTATTTCACATAAGGAAAATTAGTTATACAAGTTAATAGTGATCTTTAACAATCTGCTCCTTACATATGTGGGAAGCCAGTCACTCAGGGCCACATTGCAGGAGAGAATGCAATCGGGTCCAAAGCCAGTGTGGGTTTCCCCAAGGAGCTGGGGCTGACTATCTTGACTCCTGACTCTTGAAATTGTCATGCAGCACAGTGCTGCTCTTCTGGGCATCCGAGGAAAGGCTTTAGAACAACAGCTGATGTTTATGTCTGGAAATTTGTTATTCCTAAATAACCAGTATGCTGGAGAAACACAGTAAGTGAAGAATGCTTTCTTGAAAAATCAGAGAAGTCACCTATTGGAAAACTCTTCACTTTGGAGACTCCCTAATTTCATGCCTTTTCTTGAAATAAATTCTCAAGAATCGCTCCAAAGTTTATCCAAAAATGATTGTTTTCAATCAAATACTATGCGCCAAGAGAGTATTTCAATGGTTTTTGTTGTGTCGTGATATTAATTTAAAAATATCTAGTGTTGTGGAGAGTCATATATACAAATTATAAAATTACTTTTTATAAGCAGTCATCTAGTGTTGATTTTTTTTGGATTCGTATTGTTACTTTATGTTCGTCATCATTATTTTATATAGTAACTGTTTATTGTGAGGCTTACATGCTACACAATGACATTTTGGTCAACAACAGACTGCACATATGACAGCGATCCCATAAGACAATAATACTACATTTTTTACTGTAACTTTTCTATGTTTAAATACACAAGTACTTACCATGGTGTTACAGATGCCTACAGTATTCCGTATGGTAGCATGCAGTACAGGTTTGTAGCCTGGGGACAATAGGCTCTACCATATAGCCTAGGAGCGTAGTAGGCTCTACTGTCTAAGCTTGTGTAAGCGCACTCCATCACACAATGATGAAATTGCCTGACGATGCATATCTCAGAATGTATCCCCATCCTTAAGTGACACATGACTGTATAGTCTTAGAAAATCTGTGTTTCTTTCTTGCTTCAATATGAAATTAAATATAGATATTGAGAAGAAGTAGTGTGGTAGGGTAGAAAAGAGTAAGAGTTGATGTCAGAAAACTATGATTGTGCTGCTAATAGCTAGACTGTGAGCTATTCTGATACAACTTTCCTTTTGTGCTTGACTGTGCATTGCCTAGCCATAAGAGTTGCAGAGGTCATACTTGTTGAATAAATGACTCAGGGAAAAAATAAAAGTGTAATGTGTAATCCTGATGACAAAAATTACCTGTTCTTTTTGGATCTCAGTTGTCTCATCTATAAAATAAAGTGATAAAGCAACACTTAGATTTCTTTTACATGCTATTTCCCTATAAAAATCAGTGACTTCTAATTTTATGTAAATTCATAAAGATCTCTTAAATCAAAGCAGAAAGATAGTTCCTTGTATTTTAATATACTACATTCATATTGATCGTTGAAGATTTTTTAAAAATAAACACCAGGGTTGAGAAAATTTTTGGTTTATTATCGGCTACCTTTTTAGTATCAGTTCAAACAGCACACACACAGCTTACTAGGCAACAGTATCATTGAATGGGTTACAACTCTGTCATCTTGCAGACCTTCAGACATGCTACATCTAAAGTGAGAAGGGAAAGAACACATCAATTATTTTATAATTCCATTCAACAAATATTTGGTCCACACTTGCAGTATTATTTGCATCTAACACTAAGATAAGGTTCCTAGACTTATACGATTGTTCAAGCTAGTGGTTTAATAATCCTCTTAAATATTAAATTTTGTGACCTGCAAGATATTAAATAAAATTTAGGAAAAATTATGGCAGTGAAACAGAATTACCTTATAATTTAAAAACATCATTTCAAAGACTTGTTAGATCTCCCTTCCTTCCTTCCTTCCTTCCTTCCTTCCTTCCTTCCTTCCTTCCTTCTTCCTTCCCTCCGTCTCTCCCTCCCTCTTTCTTTTCTTCTCTCTCTATCTTGTTAAAATGCCAAAGTAAGCAATGGGGTTTAGTTTTTTTTCAGTCTGCTTAATTGGATGAAAACAGCATACACATATAAAATACGAGGGACGTGGCATCACGTTAATTTATGTTTATCACTTAATTGAATACATAGTAGAGCCATAGGAGGAGGACAGTTGCCTGGAATGGGAGAATAGCATTTATCTGCCTACTATGAGTTAGAGAGTTAAGGTAAAATTTAGTTACAGGTGATAGAGACTTCCATTTCACATCATTGACTGTTACATTTTTAACTGTTCATTTTGAAGGACATCTTTGATTTTTAAATAAAATTTTCTTGGGAAATTTTGATCATCAGACCATGATTCTCCTTCTTCGAAGACTTGCCAAATCAGGACTAGATTTTGTGGGAAGAGTCACTGGGCTCCCAGAAGTCGCAGTTGTTGAAAGCTGTGCTCAACCCTCAGCCCCACTGTTTCCTAGCTTAGAGATGCTTGACATCTCTAAGCCAAAGTTTTGTCATCTGTAAATGGTGCTTAACTCACAGATGACAGTGAAGACTAAATGAAACCACATAGATACAGTTCTTAGTCCAGCACTACATGCCCAATAAACCATCCATCGTGATGAGCTACTCTCAATATGGGAGATAGAACCGTAAGAAAGTCTATGGGGAAATGAAATAACCGAAAGCAAGACTTGATTTAGGCAGCTTGTTTCTGACTTAGGCCGTCAGTATATTATGAAAATATTTCAAGGACATTGTCATCTCTTGTTTTGCAGAATATAGGCCTCAAGTTTGACTAAAGCTTTACATTTGGGGGCTAGGTCACTGCCTGCTATAAATGTGTATATATATATATATGTGTGTGTGTGTGTGTGTGTGTGTGTGTGTGCGCGCGCGCGCGTGTGTGTGTGTGTGTGTGTGTATATATATATATATATAAATAAATGCAAATGGCTGTTTGGCACTTCTTCCATGTGGCTTTCTGCCGTGAAAGCCGGCTGCTTGTGTGCTAGCCTAATTGCTTCAATTAGCAAAATTAAATGGCTCATTATGTTTTTATACAATTCCACCCACATTCTGCAGTTTTACTTTAGAATGAGTAATGATACTGTCGAGGCTGTTGATTGATAGTCTTGCCAGGTGCCCATTTTTAGGACAGCAACTAGACAAGACATATGTCAACACAGAGAACTCTGGAGTGGCCTGATGCTGCCACCCAGGTGCCTATGTGAAGAGGAGAGATGCCACTCGAATGCTCAGGGCATTTCATGGCCTGATACAGGTCCAGACAAGAGTCTCAGAAATGGGGGATAGAGTGGAATCACCCATCCTTGGCCATTTTGAAACACTGGAGCATCAGGTGGGAGAAGGAATGTTACGAGTCAGAAGCTGACACAAGCGATCATTTTGATTGTTTTCAAAAATGACATTGGATTGCCAAGACAAAGGAACGTTGATCTGCCTCTGTCACTGAAATTATAGGAATGACCACCCCAGTCCTGCTGTGTTTTCACCATGTGCTTCAACCATCTTCTGAGCTATAATCTGAGTGACAGTATGAGCTATTTTTAAAAAGGCTTTAAGGAATTCTCCTTAGCACATAAAAATGCAGGCATCTCATCCAAGCTTTATATAGAAACTGCAATAGCTAATGGCAAAGATATGTGGAAAATGCAAGGGAGCATATATTTAGTCTAGAAAATGGTTCATTAGAAAAAATCTCTGGATTCTTGTCTAAACATTGTGTCAGAACTTGTTTCCATTCAATGGCATTTGGTATATTTAAAAGCAAATGTGTAACCTTACACAATCCTGGTAAGGACAGAAGAGGTTTTCTTTGCTCAATTCAATCTGTTCAGAGAAAGAAACTTTGAAGTCACACAGAACTATTTTATTCAGCTGTTTAAAAGATGAGATCCTTAAGAAGTGATAAAACTCATTCGAGCTAAGAAGTGCTGAATTATATCTAGGTATTTCCAACTGAAGTTCATAAGTGTGTTGGTCTTATAGATGGACTGTAAGCTTGGGTTGGTTTTGAAAAAGCAGTAGGAAAATGCTTCTTTTCTAAAAAGCTTATGTACACTTTATATGCATAACATACCACTTTATATGCATTCAAAAGCAGTATATACTTTATCCTTTTCATCTCTGTTACTTTAGTTGGAAAGTGTGTGTGTACATACATATACGTGTACATATATACACGTATATGTATGTACACACACACACTTAAAAAGAGCATATTTTTTAAAAAACAGCCATTGAGTTTTCAATTACTCTAATTCACTTTTAATTGGTCTGTGCAATCACTTCCTTTACTCATAGAGCAAAATAAATTGGGCATTTTGAAATTAACCATAAATACTTCATTTTACTTTTATCTTCAGATTATCTTTTGCTAATACTTGAATTATATATTCTTGCCATGTCAGTAAGAGAATTTATTATATTTGTTGGGTTAACAGCGTTTATCATAAATGAGTAGTAACTAAGTGTCTGCAAAGAATGTTACTGAACGAGACAGTACATAGTTAAGTAAATAAGCAAAGAGGATTTAAAGGACATGGTCATTTTGCGAGATTTTGACTTACATGGAAAAATTATTTCCTTTTCTTTCACACAAACAAAGTGTCACTATGGTTAAGATACACACAAACACATTATATATATTCATTAAACATGTTTTCATATTTAGAAATGCAAGTTTAAAAGTAAAACAAATTACAATGTTGTTCCTTTCGAAAATTTCCTGATCCTATGCAAAAAGTGAGTAAGAGCAGATCTCCCTCTTAAATGGAATCAAAGTGGACTCAGACATGGAAAGGAGCCTGCACATAAGGAATGCACCATTTCCAATTTTTTTCCTTTGGGATTCTCCGGTTACTGTCTGTGGAGGGTTTAATGGCAGACTGAAAAGGAAATGTTAGAATTAAAATATAAATACAAAAATTAAACTTTGTTTCTTTGTACATTGACGATGTCTCTTTAAATCTGAATACTTTAAACTCTCTGTTATCTGTGCCTCTACAAAACGAGTAAAAGTTATTATCACCACAACAGTCTGGTGGCAGTGTATTGCTTCCTGAATCATGGAAGCAAGGCTAAATCATGATTTACCTCTAGAGTAAGTTGTTTTGCTCTCGTAATCTTTTGAAAGGTTGTAATTCATCACATCGTTGATATGTTCTTTCCTTAACAAGAATTCATGCCGAATTAAAATATCATAATCTCCAAGTATGTTGGATAACAGAGTATTTACAGTATTTGGGAAATCACTGAAAAATTCAACCTTCTTACATTCTCCTGACTGCCAATCTCACCTCCAAGTCAAAGCACAGTACATCATTTTTAATTGACATAGTATTCATTCTGACTCTTAACATGTTGAATGAGAGATCAAGTTGAGAAATAACTTAGAACTTACATGATTGAAGCATGATGGGGCCTGTTGGGTTTGTGTTGATCGATTGACTCTATTAGATTGTAATCTGTGATTTACTCATAGAATCAAAGGTATAGTTCAACTGAGAAACTCAATTTCCAAAGATCATCAGTTAAAAGTTGTCTTGGAAACAACGAAGCTAATAACTCAAGGTTCTGCACAAAAGTGAAGAATTTGCCAAAATCATCATTTTTTTCCTTCTACAATGGGGGGTGGAATGTTTTCACCATGTGCTGACAACAAGAGCCTTTTCCTGGGCCTTTACTGGTGACTAGGTAATCTTCCCACATCCCAACAAAAGATTAGTATTTTTTAGTGGAAATCTTGCTTGGAGGATCAAATCATGGAGTACTAGGAAGTATGTCTACTTATAAAAATTGTCTATTTTTTTTAAAAAATTGATTTGGGGCTTTGTACCAAAAGAAGTCCTAGGTTGAGCCCTCTGTTACTTCCTGTGATGTCATTGTGGGGACACAGTCTCTGGATGACACACCCATTACAGGTGGTGGCTAGAGAACTGGACTACCTTATGTGAATTAGTCCAAATAACCAAATAATTAAGTTAAACTTTTTTTCTTTTTCTTTTTTGGTGGTTTGACTAATACTTAATCTATCAGTTGGGTTAATATAAAACCAGGGAAGGAAGTTTAAGACATCTTCCACTGTGGTCAGGTTTGTTATAATGGATGGATGAAAGTAATCATTTACATCTTTGATTTCCTGGGAAACATTGGCCAGTCTTGACAAGCCCTTTCTATTTAAGCTGATTCTCTCTTCACCTGATATTCTGATAGCACCCCTGGCCAGGTTCCTGGGGGCACCAACTTGCAAAGTAGGGTGATCTTGCAAGAGACAAATGTTTTCAATCTGCTGAGGCAGGCTGATGGAATTTGTGGACCAGTTTCTGACATCCCAAGTAATTATGACGCTTAAAGTGTTTTAAACGATTCCAGGTCTATAAAAAAAGTGATGATGCCTATGTGTATACCCTATATTTTTTATTACAAAAATATTGAAATAATCCATGAGTTATTCCACTCTGCACCAACTATAAAAAAATACTATCAAAGTTTGACCGGCACTTTTAATGCAACGAAAAGCACCATGACCAAGGACACTGAGAACAGAAAGCGGGGAACGTTTACTTGCTGTACGGAGGTATTTAAAACCCAGAAGCTTGTTGTAAGAGTGCGACTTTACAGATGATTCAAATACAAATCTTAGCTGGATATAGTGATAAGCCCTCTATCAGTTCAGAAGGGTTTTTTCATAGCATATTCATTGCATCTGTCTGCTCATACTTACTAAAAAGTGTCCCAAAGCCTCTAAAAGACATATCACTTTGACCTTGGATTGCGGGGAGCAAAAGTCTGTACACAGTGGAGAACTTGACTGCTCGTTCTCTTGCCTGCTTTTAGGGGGCTCATGCCAATCATTCTCAGTTGTTCGGGGCTTCCACGTCAGTCCTGTGGTTGGATGGTGTTTGGCACTAGAAAGGAGTGGCACGGCCTCTTCCAGAGTCGGCGTCTGCCTATTGTCACACAGAGCCACTCATTCTGCGTCTGGAAACAGATCCGGTTGCAGCCCATTCCTCTGGTTCATGCAGCACTGCCGTTACGTCCCAATAGGCACTGCACATGACTGGGAATCAGACTCTCATTTTGCCTTTTTCCCCACTTCCTCTTTGTGTACCTATTACATTTTTGCAATTGAATACTGAATCATGATTACTATTTAATTTACATCATAAAGTTATTGAGCTCCTTGGTCTTGTCGAAAGCCATACATGGGCTGCATAGGATTTCTGTCAAAAAGGATGTTCACAACAGAAAATTTAAAATATAAAACAAATCCTGAAATGTGTAGAAAATGAACCATTCCATCAATGCTAACACATGTGTAAACAACATTTGGGTTTGCTGTCCATTGGATAGGATTTTCACACGTGGTATGGATTTCCAAATGAGAAAATGGTTTATGAATTCTTTTCTAAGCAATACTATTTTTTTTTTCTCGAGGGATATTTCTCTCTTTCTTTGTTTTTATATTCCTGCGGGAATCAGAGCTTTGCATCAAAAAAAGTCACCTAAGCTTTTTTGACAGAGGACTGGTGTTAGTGTGTGTATGTGTGTATGACTGAATCTATTTTTATGGAAAGATCAGTTAACACCATCAAGACACCCTAATGATTGGAGGCAAAATTTTCCATAATAATAGTACCCTCTGGTGGGTGCACCCAAGACCGTGCAGGAGGAGTTTGGTAGCAATGGAGAGTCCTACTAAGCCAGCGTCATTCTTTCAGGTGGAGTCAGAGACTCTTGGGTGCAGCTGTTTTGGAAGGAGACCAGCTGCCCCCAGCCAACAGGATCAAATGATAATGGTGATGACGGTCACTCTAGGAACTTCACAGCTCACTGCCCTGCCCTAGGATGAAGTGTCATTATGGCCACAGCCCTGCTGTCACCCCTTCATCTGGATGTTGTGGGTCCTGCAACTCCTTTTGCTTTATAAAGTGGTTTCGTACTCCAACCGCTCCTGAATAAGGGCATCATCTTTGTACTGCAGCCTTGGAGGAGATGGGGAACATTCAAAAGCTAAAATAGCCTTTCGGAGGCTTCGGTCCAAAACATGCCTCTCCCATGCTGGGTACCTATTCCTGAACAAGTCAATTTTAATGACCGATTCTTCAATCCGTGGTGGGCGAGATGATGGGGTGGATGGGGCAGTGGGTCTCACCTGAAAGACAGGTACACACCCATCCCGCTCTGCGAATTTCTGATCGCGCTCGCTGACAACACTGCGGTTGTTTGAGATGGACCGTAGGGTGCTTGTGGCCACGTCTGGGGGCAAAGTGAAGGCAGCGGCTGGGTCCTCACAAGCACAACTTGGTGACTGCCCGAATCTGGGTCCATTGGGATGAAAGAAGGCATAATACATCAGCATAAAAACAACGCCAGTTAAAAAGCTGCTGAACACCACACACAGCGCTGGAATGGCAAATGCGTCTGCAATCTGGGGAGCCTTGTAGAGGTACCAGAGGGCACTCAAGGCTGTATTTTCCAAAAGGATCACAAAATAGTAAATGAATAGCCTGCAGCGTGTCCTGCCTTCCTTGACATTGAACCAACTGAAGATGTAGATAATCCCCACCACCATGTCGAACACAATCTCTTCCCATTTGGTGATACAGAATTCTGTCTCACAGTGGACGATCCAGAAGGTCATGATGCACCAGTGAAGGACGATGAAGATCCCAAAGTACAGCTGGAAAACGGAGGCAAAGAGGGCAAACGTGATGACCCTGGCGGCGATGGTGAAGAAGTGCCAGCAGAACTGGATGATGACCGCCATGTAGCTGATGGGCTTCTTGTCATCTCGGGAGTCCCGGAGGGCCTTCTGATAGGAGGCCAAGGCCCAGGCCAGGGACACGAGGGAGGCTGCCGCTGTGAAACCTACAAAGGCAAACAGGAAGACAGTCTGTCAAAAATCAGTTGCAGCAATGCCCCCTGGAAGTCACGCAGAGCTGGGGGCTTGGGGAAGGCTGGCTTTGACCTCAGCAAAGGCTCTTAATTTCTTTTTTTTCTTTCTTTTTTTTTTTAGACAGAGTCTAGCTCTGTTGCCCAGAGCGATCTCGGCTCACTGCCAGCTCCACCTCCTGGGTTCAGGCCATTCTCCTGCTTCAGCCTCCGCTGAAGTAGCTGGGGCTACAGGCGCCCACCACCACGCCCGGCTAATTTTTCATATTTTTAGTAGAGAAGGGTTTTCACCGTGTTAGCCAGAATTTTCTTTGGGTTTTAACTCAGATGGGGATCCTCGTATCTGTCCTCTCTAAGGCTCACCATATGGAGAAGTCATGAAGCTAATAGGAATGCTCCTCAAACCCAGCATGGGTGTGAGGCCTGGAAATGGGGTGGAGTTTAACTGTCTGTATTTGGTGTAAATGGACTAAGGAGGTAGTTCTGTGAAGTGGGAAAATAACCATGGACCGGAGGCTGTCGGACCCAGGTTGCTGTTTTAACTTTGCCACTTACTACCCTCATGTCCTGGCACTATTGTTAAAACAGATGTCCTCATTTTTAAAGTGGATGATCTCCAAAGCTCCCTGTCAGCTTTGTGATTCCATGATTGAAGGGGATATGTAATCACAGGAAACCAGGGACTAGCTAGTTTATCTTTCTGCTTGGAAGCAGGATTAAATGTAGCTTATTCACAAAAGACAGTTTATGCGTTCTTAGAAATAAAAGGTGTCTGTACAACATCCTTGGCAATGTTTCTTGTGATACCTGGTGCAGTTTGTCCTAGTGCAATCTGGCACTCTTCCTGCAGCTTTCATCTGTTCCTTACTGCCTTTCCCATAACAGAAGACATGTCTGCTCCCTGTCTTCATCTCTTAGCTCTTCATAGATTAAAGATTGTACTGAAATTATTTTACAGTCACTTCTCTTATTTTATCATTTTATTGGCCCCATTCGGTTGGTATTCCCTCTAAAAGCAGGCTTCCAAATGTTACAAGTAATTTTTTTTTTTTTTTTTTTTTTGAGACTGAGTCTCGGTCTGTCGCCCAGGCTGGAGTGCAGTGGCGCTATCTGGGCTCACTGCAAGCTCCGCCTCCCGGGTTTACGCCATTCTCCTGCCTCAGCCTCCGAGTAGCTGGGACTACAGGCGCCCACCACCACGCCCGGCTAATTTTTCTTTTTGTATTTTTTAGTGGAGACAGGGTTTCACCGTATTAGCCACGATGGTGTCGATCTCCAGACCTCGTGATCAGCCCACCTCGGCCTCCCAAAGTGCTGGGATTACAAGCATCTGCCACTGTGCCTGGCCAAAAGTCATTTTTATTGTTTTCCTCGACTCTTGTTCCACCTCCTGTGTGGCACAGTTCATCTCTATGGTCCAGATGTGGCCAGGGCTCACCTAAAAACACACTGGCCTCCTTCAGGAGAGGGCTTTTATGGGAAATTCCTCTTTGTCACGGAAATGGTATGCCGATCTGCATCGCAGCTGGCTTCCTTAATGAGCTGAACCAAGACTCACCAAGACTAAGAATGCTCTCATCTATTTTAAAGTCCGGCTGGCTTTTTCTTCACCAAATCTATTATTAATCATAACCAGGCCCCATTAAAGCCTTTCTCTTCTTTTGGAAATAATAGAAGATATGTTGATTGCCAAGAGCTTATAATGGAATTGGTATTTTTACTCAAAAATATATTTTTTAGAGAAGAGCTGTTGTCTATGATCCTTGAAAAATGAAAAGGAAGTACTCTTGTGGAAAAAGGCCACACGAATTGACAGAAATACACTCAACCCCAATAATTATTTCTGATACATCCTCCTTGAGTAAGGTGAACTCCAAAGAACAATTATTGATAAGGAAAATATTTTCCAAGATCCATTTCTCATATTTCCTCCCAATAAAGCCAGCAGAACAACTAGACGTGCTACACTAGGACCTTCAGGCTTTTCTTTTCTTTTCTTTTTCTGGTTAGCACAAAAATCTTTAATTGCCGTAAGTCACAGGCAGCTGTGGCGCTATTTATAGGTCAGAGACCAGTATACAAAGGAGTTTCTGATAATTTAATTTCTAAGCAACAGAAAACACCGACATCAATTATAAAACAAATTCTGGAGTGAAAAGAGGGGGAAGGAGAAAAAGTTTAAAAAATGACAAAAGAAGGTGAGAGAAATGCGAAATAAAAGGTAATGGGATAATGACTATGCGAACGTCTTAATTATCAGTTGGGGATCTAAGAACAAAAGGTTGTGCCGTTTTAATTTCTACGCCTTTGTAGGGTATAGAAGCCGCTCATATCTCTCTCCTTATGTGTACCATGTGCAAACGTGTAGCTTCTCACTAGACTGTGCTCCCTTTGTGGTTTTAAGCGGGGCGCCCAGCTCGATTTCTGCCCAGGAATGCCCCTCCTCTTCCTGCACGCCGGCCTCCTTCAGCGCAGCTGGGGCACAGCGCCACCTTCAGGAAGGTAATTGCATCGCAGGTCAGGCTCGCGCCAACCAAAGGGGCGTTGTCCACGGGGTGGTCAGAATGGTCTACCAGTGTGCACAGGAAGACGTTACTTAAGGCTGCTTTCCAAAGCAGTGAAAAAATAATAACAAAACTTTAACTACACAGTATGATGAAATGGTGAAATGATCTGTTATCAGATTTAAAAGAATAGAAACATTAGCCTCCTTCAAATTCCCCTGTAATCTCCACCCCTTTTATTGCGTGTCCTAAAAGAGTAAATCAGCCTACTTTTGACACTCCAGGAACTTGTTAAGATGATACTGTAGCCCTAGAAAAAGGAAGGCTTTCTATCAGCTTTGCTCTCTCTATATCTTACAATTAAAAAAATCTATACCAAAGGGAAATTTCATGTCCCTGTGATACCCCCTTTATGAATTCTCTGCTTCAGCAATGAGAATTTCTCTTCTTCCTTTGTTGTTGTTGTCGATGATGACGATGATTTTTTGAGACAGTGTCTCACTCTGGCTGGAGTGCGGTGGCACGATCTCAGCTCACTGTAGCCGTCACCTCCTGGGTTCAAGCAATCCTCATGCCCCAGCCTCCTGTGTACCTGGGACCACTGATGTGTGCCACCATACCTGGCTAAGTTTTGTACTTTTAGTAGAGAGGGGGTTTCACCATGTTGGTCAGGCTGGTCTTGAACTCCTTACTTCAAGTGATCCTTCTGCCTTCCCTCCCAAAATGCTGGGATTTTAGGCATGAGCCACCGTGCTGGGCCTTCCTTTGATTATTATTCACTTTTTCGTCTGTTTAACAATTGATTTTTATAAGACAAATATATGCTGAACAGAAAATATGGGGTCATATTCAAGTTAAGACCCTTACAACTTCACAAATTCACAACTGCCACAGAACACTTAGTTCTTTTGCTCTTTATACAAATAATACAAGCTCAGTTTTTTCCAATGCCAAGGTAGACTTCCTTAGCAAGGCACGGCCTTATTCTTAGAGTTCTCTGGAGCTTCTGATGTGCAGTGGCACAGTGCTGGAGCACAGGAATCTGAGCACTCCTTTAGCTATTAATGTGTATTTTAAGTTGTTATTTGAAAATAATTTCAAACTTACAGAAAAATTGTAAGAATAGAAATATTATATTGAACATGTATATTTCATTTGCCCCAATTGTCAACTGACTTTATCATTGCCCTCTCTCTGTCTCTGTCTCTCTCTCTCACCCATTTATGATTAAATGCATACATTATGGTCCTTTACCCTAAAATATACCAGTGTTTATTTCCTATGAATAGGGGTATTCTCTTACATAACCACATAAAGTTATCAACTTCAATCAATTTAACATTGATACAGTACTTTCAAAAAATCCACTATCAGTATTCTGGTTTCACCAATTGACATTAACAAGGTCCATTCCAAAATTTTTCTCCCCTATACAGGATAAAGTCTAGAATCAGGTACTACATTTAATTGTTGTATTAATTTAGTTTCCTTCAATCTGGAATATTTCCAAATACTTTCTTTGCCTTTATGACACTGGCATTGTTTGAAGAGTATAGTACTTGAAAATAAGAAAAAAAAGAAAAAAAAGGTGTTCCTCATTTTGGGTTTACCTGCTGCTTCCTCATGGGTACATTCCCAGGCAGGAATATATGTGACATTGGACAATGTATTTTTTCAGCATCATCAATATACTAAAATATGAAGATTCCTTCAGTGGCCCCAGGAAAAAATATATAATGGGTCTGTCGGTCTTTTCTTTCAAAATAATGAATAGTGTATTACTCATGAAAACTTGCTTCTAAGATCAAACTATAAAAACAGCTACAGGGGACTAAAAGGGATTATATATTATTTCTTAAAATGTGAAAATAGGCGATAAGACCTTAAAGCTTACCTATTGCAATAATGTTATTTTATAGAAAAGAAATTGAGCTTCACTTTGAGAGGTTATCTTCCCTCTCTCCTGCCTCCCATTTATCTTGGGTGAAAATTGTCCTTCTCCAAAGTGAACCTCCTGCTTCCTAAACAAGGGCGCTAACAGTTAACCTGCCTTTCTCTGGATTCCATCTCTTCCTCTATAAGAGTACTTCCCCAGATCTTACAAACATGTAACGAGCCTCCTTTATCCCAGGAAACACCATTCGTGAGATTTTTTTTCTCTCCTCTTCTTTATTTCAGATGTGTCTCCTGTTTTCCCTCCTGTTGTTTCTTGTTCCCCCATTTGGTCTGGTTGTCCTTTAGCTACTGGCATTGCTTGGGATGCAGTCCTCAGTCCTCTTTCCATCTCAGCCTTTCTCTGGGTGACCTCACTCACTCCATGTCTTGAACCCAGCAGAGAGCAAATGCCCATCTGGACTCCCAGCCTTTCTGAGCCCCAGAACTGTATGTCTGACCGTGAGACCTGAAACCCCATGGACCTACGATGTAATACCTGGAAGCAATCTGGCTGTAGGTGACAACATTTGCTTTCTC